CCCCCCCCCGGGCTACAGAGCAGCTCTTTTCATTGCGAGGATCATATTTAATTTCATGTCTTTATCCACCGGTTCATGATATGATTCATTTCAGTATATTTCAATTCATAAACAAGTAAATGTCAAACTCATTGACCAGGCCATTTCCACCTAGAAAGTTTACGAGTGCATAACTCTCCATGAATTGTCAGGTTGTTACTAATTTGCAAACTATTTGTAGAGACTGATGAATGAACAACATAGAAAGGTAAATCACTAAGACAAAAAAAAGTCCTAGGTCACTTCCTGCGGGACCCAGCGCCCAATGATACAATAAGCAGACAAAAATGGATGCTCGTAGCACTAATCACGGGCCAAAACATTGGTTGCATTATCAATAAATGACAAATTTGTGCTACAAAACCAGCCAAAAATGCAAGTAATGCTAGTAGTGCTTTTTTGGTGAAATGGATTAACATTATTCCCGTAATAACGAATTATGCCAAACAATCTATCAAAGCTTAGTACTGGGAACATTAATGGGACATTTAACCGCTCCACTGCCGCGTCGCTTACCGTGCAATGCAAGAATATCTTGACCCGTTTATTTAACACCAACTGTGCATCAGTAGATAGCGCTCCGACAAGGTCACTTAGATCGACCTCTAACAACCTCAATATTCCTAGATCTAACTGTAGTACATATGAAGATAACGTCTTTCCAATAGACCTTGTCACGGTTTTCGACGCCATCTTGACGAGTAGGCAAACGCGTGAGAAATTACAGTGTTTGTATGAGAATCTAATGTCGAATAATTTCCGTAGAACGGCTGTTCTGAAAAAAACATCTATTGTAAACTAAAGCTTCACTCCTAAGGATTCTCCTGAAAAAGTTTGAGGGCGTTACATGCACTAGAAGACCTAGAACCACTTTTTACAATTTTCTGTACATTTGTCTGTAAGAAAGTCCCGGGAAAATTACAGACAAATATATGGAAAATCTAAAGCAAGCCTCTGGAGAAATTTCAGCACAGGTACACCCCCCTATTTTTTAGGACAATCCTTTGGTTTGTAGCTTTAGTTTACAATAGATATTTTTTTCAGAACAGCCGTTTTACGGAAATTATTCGACATTAGATTCTCATACAAACACTGTAATTTCTCACACGTTTGCCTACTCGTCAAGATGGCGTAGAAAACCGTGACAAGGTCTATTGCCGCACCGCAAATGATTTCGTCATTTAAGTCTAGTTTAATTTAAGGAAGCATTTTGTTAGTTGCCTGATATGGACCACAGAACAAGCTTTACTTTATATTTATTATTATAAATTATTATAATTTTTTTAATTTCACATAAATAATTACATCGACATCTAACCGAATAGTACCATATTATAGATTACTACTATTTTTGTAAATTCATTCAGGCGTATGCGAAATCCTTATATAAGAGGTGCTATCATTGTTATTACTAGAGGTAGTTATTTATTGTAGATCCGTGTTCGTCACTTACAGAAACGAAATCGAGTCGAAAGGAGTCCAGCTTCCTGGCTGAGATGCCCCTGATAAAATCAGTAGTGGCGGCTGATCGGCAGTCGCCAGTAATACCTCGAAAATTTGTGCCTTTGTACCACAGGAACACCAAGATTAGGATGCTTTTTGACGAACGCGATTATTATTGGTATTATGATTATTATGATGATGATGATTATTATTATGATGATGATGATGATGATGATGATGATGATGATGATGATGATGATGATGATTATTATTATTTAAAGCTGCAACTATACACATGTTTACAGAAATACTTAATGTGTTACAGCTCCAAAAACAACCACACCATCAACACAGCCACTGAGTACAGGAAGTCCAACAACAAGGATGCCAAATACTTTGAAACCAACTATCCCCCAAGTGTGCAGTGTGCCAGTTAACAAGACTGTACCACCCCTCTCCTGTGATCCACTATGTGGTACAGGTAACTAGTATCTATTACTCTTTGAATAAAGGAATCTGCAGAGGAGCATACTAGGGTACAATAACAGTCACGTAGACAGAGTACAATATCAGTCGTAAAAACTACTATAATGGCCACATTAGCATTTTAGCAATAACTGCGAAAAATCCGTAAGCGCTACACTTCTATAGATATTCTAGAAGGTTGTGGTGCTTATTTGGGGGTTACAGTTCAAGTATCAGGATTTGTCCCAAATCATGACATTTATTCAAGGGCCCTGCTGTTTTAAGTAACTACAGATAATTTTTGTACCTGATTCTTTTTGCCGAAAGATTGGAGGAGGAGGAGCATACCTCACACTATTCACACTATTCGGCCCCCTCCCCCTTCCGGGTCCTTCATAGATGTGCCAGTCCATTTTGAGAATGCCCATCGTAATTATTTCCGTTGCAGGTCTGACGTATCACAGTACTGGAAAGTGTCTGTCCAATGGGCGTTGTCTCTGCTGGTGGGGGTGGACTGGTGCAAATGCCTGCTATGTCGATGGAGGAATTTATAACAACCGAATTTTGGTAAGAGTTTTTGTTATATGATTTACGGAAACAGCTTAGCTCAACTACAAGTGTTCTGATTAGTAAACCTTCTCTCAGTTTTACTTTAATTTGTTTACAGTTAATGGTATAACAAGGAGGCCCTCCAATGTCACGCACATTTCAGTGGGCACCCAGGGGAGGCTAGGTCTAGATATTGAGACCGCCCCCCCCCCCCTCCTTTTCTCTGTTTTACTTTAATTTGTTTACAGTTAAAGGTATAACCAGGAGGCCCTCCAATGTCCCGCACCTTTCCGTGGGCACCCAGGGGAGGCTAGGTCTAAATATTGAGACCGCCCCCCCCCCCCCAACACACACACACACACATACACACACACCTATCTGAAGGTCTTGATCCGCCACTGCACTTACTGCAATTTCTGTTTATTTCTCTAAAGGCTGAAAATTGTGTGGAAAGGTGCCATTACACACATGTTTACAGAGACAAAAAGTGTGTCACAGCTTCACCAACAACAACACCATCAACACAGTCAATAGGTACAGGAAACCCAACATCCATTCCGTTGACAACTGTGATACCGAGAACAGGGTCTACAAATATTGTGAAACCAACGACAGGGAAACCAGTACCACCAACAAGAAGGCCAGCAAAAGGGAAGCCAACAACAATGAAGTTAACTGCAGGAAAGTCGAGCACTATGAATATAACTATAGGTAACCCAACATCATCAACTCCAACCACGGGAAAACAAGTAACTACAGGACCAGCATCTTCGAGAACCAAAGCAAGGCAACAGGGTTTGTAATTAAATTTAAACCAACCAAAGGGTATGGGGAAACCGGAAAAAACAAGGGAAACAGAAAAAGGTAGGAAAACAGGAGAACTAAGGAAAAACAAAGGAAAAAAGTTGAAAACAAAGCAATAGAAAACTACAAAAGCAAAGGGGGAAACAAGGAAAATATAGGAAAATATAGGGAAACAGGGGAAAACATCGGAAGACAAGGGAAGTGGAAACACACTGTCAGGGAAACAGAGGGAAAAAATGGGAAAACAGGGGGGACTACCGAGAACAAATCCAGCTTGCGAGTCAGGTCGTATGCTTGGTGACCAGCATTAATTCACACAATATTGAGAGAAACGTCTCCTTGGGTAACACCTTCCAGCCTCTGAGATCAGCACCCTTTGCAGTTGTAAATTGTAAAAAAAGTGCGCATGCGTAGTAAGGAACCGTACATGAAGCCGATCAAAAAGTGTTGAGTTAATTTGCAACAGGCTTTATCCTCGCGTTCCTTGCTTTGTGTGTTAGAAAGTTCGACTGCTCGCAAACAGTTCAATGCGTTCATGGTAAAATTTGTGGAAAATTTAAAAATTCGAATCACAAATAACACAAAACTCAAAGGCCAAATCTAAGCTGATATGAACGGCTTGTTTTATTAGCTGACGAGAAACGATCCTCATAGATTTTCATGGAATATTACCGGGTGTGAATATTCCAACAGACTAATTTGACAGTTTGTCCTTCCTTAGTTGACTGTTAACAAAGACAGGAAGCGAGTCAAGAATTCCAAGTCAGTAAATAAGTGATAATTCGATCTTCCAGACTTACGTCAACGGGTTACTTAACAAGATAGTTAATCAGTAATTTACTTTGTTTAAATAATGGGTATAAAGGACATGATCGTCCCAATGGTAATTGAAATTTAAGCAATTGCAAATTAACCCGAAAAAAATTGAGAGTCTTCAACGGGATATGAAACCATGATCTCGGCTTTGGCGCTGCAGTGCTTTACAAACTGAGCTATAAAGACCCTTACATTGATAGAAGGCCAATTTGTTGACTTCGTCTTAACCCATGAAAGGAATGAAACATAGAGTGAAGTTTGTTGTTTGTTTGTTGTCGTTTTTTAATTACAGATGTAGCTGTGATCAGCATCCGCAAAATACCACTCAGATAGAGGGAGGAAACGTAACTTTCACTTGTGACGCGACAACAAATCCTGCATCATCATTCTTATGGACTAAAGACGGATCTGTTGTGAATGCGACCTCAACGATTATTTTGTCATCTGATAACAAACAATTGACGATAATTAATGTCTCCAGAGGAGACAGTGGACACTACACCTGTGTGGCTACTAACGACGTAAAGACAGTTCAATCCAATGCTGCCTTACTTGATGTACAATGTAAGAATGAAAGCTCAGTATTCCTCCTTTCCTTAGAAAAGAAAATTTTCAATCGTGTAACTGCGCGTTTCCCGTCCCTTTTTAAATGCAAGCACTACAAACTGATTCCTAGTCTATTAGATCGTAACAATACCGGAAGAAAGTGAAAATGAAGAGATACACAGTAAAGTTTTCAGTCTTTTTAACATACATTGAGTTCTTTTTTTACATAGTCTAGAAAACCTCAGGTGATTCCTTCTCAAACAAATCGCAATCGCTCGAGTACTGGCCCTACCTAATTCCTATGGAGCCACCATTATAAAGCGACTATTTTGTGCATATCTTTGTGTGCATTTAATCTCCGTCTTTCACTGTTATTTTCTTTTATTTTCTTGAAATATTTTTTACAGTGGTACCAAATTCGCCAGAAAATATGACAGTCATCTTTAAGACCTCAAGAGTTATAACTATCTCATGGACAAGCGGTTTCAATGGCAACAGTGATATTCTTAACTATACTGTGGAGATTAGTACAGATAATCAGACATTTGGAGAGGTTACATGCCAAAGGCTGTCAGGTAGTGGCTGTGTGGCATCCAGCTGCTCCCTCACAAGAGTTTCTATTGAAGGCCTTCATCCTGGAAAGACATATTACATCAGGGTGTTTGCAACTAACAAAGTTGGTTCCAGTACTACTAGCTCAGTAATCACCACAACCACAGATGAGGAAGGTACAAAGATGTTAAGTAACATTGCTCAGCCGCTTCAGGCAAAATTAAGTTACTCGTGTTGTACTTGTAACTTTATGTGCATATAAGTTTTGGCCACTGTTTTAGTACTCACACTGTTCTTTAAATGTTGTGCATTGTGAAGTGCGAGTAGAAAATGGTAAAGAGGGTGGTGTAAAAAAGGGCTCATCACTGACAGATTGCACTAGTAAAGGACGACAAGATTTTGATGACTATCCTTGGCAAGAACAAGCCTAGTGCCGTCTTGTACCGTGTAAAGGGGCGTAAAAGGTTAGACTCCCACAAACTGTCCTCTATATTTCCTTCACACCAAGTACACCTTTTGAAATTCTGTCCTCTGAGACTCTAAGAATTAAGAAAATATATCCCTTATTTGCTCAAGACAAAAGCATGGTAAAGGATTTTAGTGAAATAGCTATAGCGTCATCAGTCAATCGTCCTGTTAAATAATAAACCTTTTAATTCCCAATACAGCCTTCATTGAATCAGCTACTGTAGAATCCGTATTTCTCGAAAAGGTGGTTTTTAAAAATTTAATTCTCCATAATTAGGACCAAAACCAACTTCCCGTCACCAGTCAAACACTGTGATTTTATCACCGATTTGCCAAACCTTCCGATAATTCGAAACAATTTGCTTTTCCCAAGGTGGTTCTAAAAATTAGGATTTCATGGTGTCGGTCTACGGTTTCCTTTGAAGAGTCGTCGAGTTAAACCCCTAATTTTACTTCTTTCTTTCTTTCTTTCTTAATTTTATTCTTTTACTCAGAGCCAAATGCTCCTCCATTTAATGTCCAAGGACATAACACAAGTTCTACTAGTATTTTGGTGCAGTGGGGTGATGTTCCCGCAGCTGCTCAAAATGGCATTATACTGCGCTACACAGTTACCTACACATCGCTTCCAGGTGGTAGTACACGGACCAAGGTGGTGAATTCTCCAACAACTAAAGCGATTCTGACAGGACTCAATAAATACACCAACTACAGCATAACAGTGTTTGCTTCAACTTCAAAAGGAGATGGAAATGTTAGTGAGCCAATCGTTGTCGTCACGGACGAGAGCAGTAAGTAAATACAAAGAGAAAAAAATTTGACACCCTGCACGGCCTAATTATTAACTAATAATTGTTGAACTTAATTAACTTAATTAATTAAACTTAATTAAACACCTTACGTCGATTTTGAAAAGCTTGGGCGTTGTCTACGATTAAGTGAACAGCACGTATTAACACAAGAATCATACATTTTGGTAAAAATCTCCTTAATAATCTTTTTTAATCAAGATGAAATATAACATAATTTAGTTAGCCACTCGGAAACGTCGCTCAGATCAATTTATGAGAGAAGAGTAGTATCATCAGCAAAGAGAAAAATATGTAATTTATTAGAGGATTTATGAATATCACTGATGGACATCAAAAATAAAATAGGTCCCAATACAGATTCCTGAGGGACTCTACAGAGATTTAGTTTCTTTTGATAAGGAGTGCTCGCCAATTTGGGTTACTTGAGATCGACCTTTCAGATAAAAAGAGAACCAATCTAATATAATATCCCTGAGTCCATAGTGATTTAGCTTGCATAATAATAGCTTGCATGATCAACTGTGTCAAATGCCTTTTTAAGATCGATAAAAATTTCACAAGAAAACATTTCTTTGTCCTAATTGTTTTGAATCCTATTTACTATGTCAATTATTGAACGCTGTGTAGAGTGTTTCTCTCTAAAGCAGTACTGTGACTCATAAGAAAGATCATTTGCCTCAAAAAACGACTTCAGACGTTTGTACATGCTTTTTTCAAAAATTCTCTTGCAAAAAAAGAGGGGGGATATTAGACGATAATTGTTAGGGTCTGAATCATCACCACTTTTAAAAATAGGAACCGCCCCTGTCTTGATTAGCTTTAATTTGTTAGGGTAGGCTCCCTTGAGGATAGAAGCATACATTTTTTCCATAAGTGGTATACTTATTAAACGTTTTGCAACTTTTAAGATGATTTTCGGGAAGAATAAGCCCCATCTGACTTCCCGATAGGCAAAAGCAATATTTCGGATTCCATTTCGGCAGGATTAACAGGAGTAACGTAAAAGAATTTTTGACAAATATGTTCAAAATACTCCGAAAATGACGTTCAGAGTGAGGTAGCTTGGCAGCTAAAATAGCTGCACATGACGCGATATAATTGTTCGCGACGGTTAGTAATTTCTGCGAATCGTGAATTAATGGACCACTATGTTCATCCTTTGAAGTTCACTTTTGCAGTCTTGCAGTCTCATAAAAGACCAACGACCTACGTTCCTAGGGTGATGCAAATATAGACAACATTACAAACCTCGGTTACGCGGCTCTACAATATAAATACATTGTCCAGCAAAAAGGGGAGATGAGAATAGGTAAATGTATCTACCAGATAATGCTATCTTGATGTAACCTCAAATTCTCTAAACTAATTTTACCGGGAAATGTAGAGCAGCCTGGAGAGAAAGGAGGATAACTTATCAGATCTACTGTTACAATTACCCTTTTTTGCAGGACCTTCCGCCGCTCCTTTACTGAATAGTGTGACTGTATTGAATAGCACCAGTGTACTGGTGGGATGGGAATGCGTTCCTAAGGAATATAGAAATGGCATCATCACTCAGTACACCATATACTATAGGGACGAACTGAAGAAGGCGGAAGGGACAAGGGTCGTCATACCACCTAATAAAACGGTAATCATCAATGGACTGAGACAAAAGGCTGAATATTTATTTTGGATTTTGGCTGCAACTTCGAAAGGGAATGGCCCACCCAGCAACACGATAAAGCCAACAACTGATGGTAAGGAGATTTCAAAATGCTACTCTTCCATACTTAATCATAAACAATCGGTTTTCATTTTTTTTTCTCTTAGGTTGGCAGTTTTAAAGAACTGTATATCGGATACGATGGAATCACCTTAATGGCGAACGACAAACGCCAGTTTGTACCAAATGATTAACTTATCGTTAAATGTTCATTATATCTGCACCGAAAAGTATATATTAAGTAGCTCCATGCCCTTTTCATCCATAAGGATTACTTTGGATAGCCTTTCTTAATCTCAAGTTTTCTCTCATTCTTTCCACTTACTAGATACATTTAAGGGTTATGCTTATTCTGGGGCCTGTACAAGTTTTAAAGTAAGCCCATGCTTGTTTATTATTCACAAAATTTTTCCGGAATATCCTGTTGGAAAGTAAATGTAACAGGATCTCTTGGGTCGTTTCAGCGGAAAATTTCCGGGAGCAACGGAACACCTAAAAAGGTAGTCCTGTTTTTCCGGACGTAATATTCCACACGGAAATTTGTGTTCCATTTGCTCAAAGCCATGTTTGATACCAGTTTCAGGCTTTGGACCGTTTTTTCGGTAAATGGAACTGATTTGTACAAATGGTAAATGCGACTTCCGCGATGAAATTTACCAGTTCTGAATTTTGCCCACCATTTGCCCAAACCGTCAACCGTCCGCTTTGCCCACCTAAATGGTAAACAACCCTTATTGCTACCAAAGGCGCTGGCGCTGAAATTAGTAAAAATCGTTTCTTTTAGCCGTGCCCACGATTTTGCCACCTGTTGAAGAAGCCATTGGTGCAATTCAAGCGTCCGTCAAATTTGTCAACAAGCACTTCTTGAGTACTGGAAGTCCTGTGAAGTATGTACATGTCTCTGTGAGGTGCTTTTAAAGTTGCTGTTTATTTCATTTCATTTCCTTTTTTTTTTTTTTTTTCATCCTAAAGCTTCAAGAAATGGTTAGTAAGTATTATTTATATTAGGTGCCGAATTCTGCAAAGAAAAGTACGAGTCAAACCTTAGCCTGAGCTAGTGGACTTAGGCCTGTCTCAATTAAGTTCGTCTGAATGAGTTTGGGTCGTCCCACACGTTCTATCCGTCTGCTTTAGACGGATAGAACGTCTGAAGATCGTCCCCGACGCAAACGTCGGTCTTCACATGCGACGAACTAAACTAGCAAATTAAAAATTTGTGTGAGTACATTATTATTTTAGCCTTGTTGGGGAGAAAATTTATTAAAACTGCTTAAGGTCTGATTCAGTTGATTAGTTTGGCGCGTCCTAAGTTAGACGTCTTACCCCAAGCAGCGATTTTGACTTAACTCAGGTGGACCCAAATTAGAGTTTGGTTCGTCTCATGAAATGTTGTAGATTTGGCCTAGGCCTTAGAGTTCCTTTTGACAAAGTTATCGGGAAAAAAGAGTTTTCTTTATGTAACTGAATAATTTTGTCATGTCGCTATCAGATATTTCCGAATGATTGTTATCACGCTACCGAAAGGAGCAGAGCCAGGAAATCCAGCAGACGAAAAGTACCAAAACGTTACTCGCGTGTATGATGACCAATTGGATGGCAAGCCTTACATTACTGCTGAGTTTGAAAGAGAGGAATCAAGAACGACATTTATTGTTGGGGATGGGAAGTATTACTCACGGAGTGGTATAACTGACGCTGAAAGAAAACGCAGAGCTACCTCATGTAAGTTGGCAATGACTACACGAATACGGGCAACTCTTCTTCTAAACTTCTTACAACTGTTCCGAAACACCACTGACCGAATCACAAAACAAAAAACATGAAACAACAATATAAAAACCAACTATAAGAACAGACTTTATTACATGGTTTGCAGTGTAGTAGAAATCATAAAAATTTCCCAATTATGATTTCCCTTCAAATCAATGGAAGTCCTGAATTTTTTCCAGGCTTCTTACGCAATTGCCGAAATTGAGTTCACAACTGTGAGGATCATTCTTCATTTGAGGGTGTTAATGTTATACTTAAAGGAGTTTTTCATGAGATATACAACGTCGTCAATGTCGTTAGTGTTTATATTAATTTATTTTTGTATGAATTATTAATGCCCTTTGCCTAATTATATCTTTGAAATATATGAGCATTCGAAAATTAGTCATCGGCTGATATTAATGGTTTTTAGATGTTACCAAGTACCTGAATGGGAAGCTAAAGGAGAAGACAGAGTACGTGGTCTTTCAGAGATCTTTTGACAAAGATGGCAACTATGAAAACGAGGGATTCATTCAATTTGCGACGAAAAGTAAGTTATGTTGGTTGGTTTGTTTGCTCTAGACATATTATTCTTGCATGAGTTTCCTTTAACATACTTTGAGCAAATTACCGTCTTTCGAATTTATTTCGAAAACCTCGTGTTAACCCTCGAAGGCAGAAGCAAATTTAAACCCAACTGCCCCCAACCTCCGTTTTTGCTGTGTTACAATGGAGAATGAGAATTGACGTTTGCGGCAAACGGCAAACATCATATTCAAGTTCACGGTTTTAAAAAGTAAGGAAATACTGAAGCAGATTAAAATAGCCAAAATTAAAAAATAGTAATCATGGAAGAATCAATTGGCACGGAACAACTTCTTTTTCGGAGATATAGTTAGTAGTAAACGGCAATTAAAATGAACATTTTATCATGTCGGCCAAATTCAAGTTTTCTGTTTAATTCTACAGCTATCGTGGTCGACAGCCTGCAATGATCGAGTTCTACGCAAAGATGTAAAAATTATATCATGAGCAGCTGATCGGGAGCTGTAGCTTTAGTCAATAAAAAAGGCTAAAAGTGGATTTCTATAAAGATTCAAAATTACGCAGAAAAAGTTAGGCAATAAGCAGTTTATTCATGCTCAAGCTAAAATATATATAGCTCTCCGCGCGCTTCTCCACTTTTCGTACTTTCTACGCCTGAGAGACGCAGCTTGCAATATTAAGATATAGTCGAAAAATAAATATCCCAATAGAGAGAAGTCATTACGTCGCGTTGCATTGGAATCAAAATATCTGGATCTCAACAAATCTTGATCCTACAAATATGGCAGAAAAAATAAAAATATTGACATGTATGACTTTCCAATGCATGATTTCACTCAGGGACAAAACGGTAACCCATACTTATCTTCCATCGTTCGATACTACAAATGGTCGTCTTTGCGAAGAAAGGTTGTTGAGATCCAGAATACCATGATAATATGACGTCTCACTTCTCCTCTCTAAGGCACCCAAAAAAGTGCGGTTGACTGAAAAAAGAAATATCATACCAAAGAAAAAGACAGGGGAATATGAGCTTGCAAGGACAGATGTATGAGCAAGTAGAGCGGACACAATTACTTCTGATCATCTTCCTGTCATGGGAGTCTTTCAAGAGATTACTATAGTTCACTATACTAGAGAAGTAACTTTTTGGTTTTAATGTTCCCTTTAAAGGTGGTTGCATACTGTAGGTGTCAATATGTTTGCCCAGCCGTTCTTTAGTTTCATGAGCATCGTCGCGCATTCCTTGGCAACCAATCAGGGTTGAAGAGCTTTCATAGCGTCTATGATATGCATGATATTGCGCGTAATATGACACATCTACGAACTTTGTTGATCTGGAAGTAAATGTCCCGAGAACAATAGGCATTCTGCACGATGCTTTCTCCTTTCTATCCTATTTCTTTGTCCTCTTTTAGTTAGCTATTACTTGTTTTAAATATTGGTCTGCTTGTTTGTGAATTTCAGAAGAGAATGATTCTGAATCGTCGTCCAAGCCTTCAACAGTTATCATAGTGTCCGTAGTGATAGTCCTGGTGATTCTTCTGTTAGTGGGTGTTGCGATTATTGTTTGGCGTTATCGAAGATCCTATAATGGTATGTTTGATTTAATTTTCATGAAGTTTCTCTATATAAGCTGTCATATTTATGTGGGTGATATTCAAAATATACTCCGATGTAATGACGATGAAGATAACAAGTTTTTAATTTCAGTGTCAAATGTCTAATGGTTAGTTATTGACACCTTGCTCAGACTTACCAGTTCCTTTTTTATATTACGACAGAAAGTACATGTTGTTCTAAGAGAAAAAAAGATAAATTAAGTCAAGAAAACATAGAAATGTCCGACAACAGCAAGCTATCGACGTCAGGAGGTTACTACAACTCTATTCAGCTACATGACGAGCTACGCTCTGTTGAAAGACCAGCAAAAACATGCCAGGACACCTATGAAGACGTACTTTCTGACGAGCCTACCTACTATACTGACGTTAATCCAGATCAAGAGAGAATTTATCAAGAAATTAAGAATGAGAATCATTATCAGCCGTTAGATTTGAATAGACCAGCAGTTTATGAAAAGAGTCAAGGGTCAAGTAAGATTTTCATGTAAAGAATTTCGTACAATAAGCGTTACAAAGGAGAGGCTACTGAAATTAAGAATGAGAATCATTATCAGCCGTTAGATTTGAATAGACCAGCAGTTTATGAAAAGAGTCAAGGGTCAAGTAAGATTTTCATGTAAAGAATTTCGTACAATAAGCGTTACAAAGGAGAGGCTACTTAGGTGATGCTCTGAGATATAATTGTACATAAAACATAAGAAAGAGTGTTTCAAACGATATGCAAAAGATATAGTAATTTGGGCTCTACATATATACATCTATATACTTGTACCAGAAGTACAATGCTTTACCAACTAGAGGTTTAACTAGGCATTTTATTCCTCGCGAAGCGAGGGCCTTAAAGTTCTCGCGTAGAGAATTAAAAGGAAGCTTAAGCAACAACGACGGCGACGGCTACAAAAACGACACTTAAAAAGTGAATTTGCACCGCTTCAAACTTTATCGCGTTTATTCCATCGCGTTAAATTTGACACATGTTGGCAAATTCAGCTGGAGTAGAATTCTAAAGGGCTTTGTCGAAGTTCGGGAAAAGAAAAGGAAGATCGTTGTCTTACATCCACGTCATCCCCAAAAGGTGAAAATATACACGCAGTTTCATGTCGAAGTCGTGTAACTTCGGCAAAGAAATGTACAAAGACAAATAAATTTGCATGTGCAAAGTTGTTGCAAACTTATTGCTCGTTTGACGTTCTCGTTGCCGTCGCCGTCGGCGTCTTTGCTTCAGCTTCCTAGTAATTTTATCGAAATTTGCATCGTGCGTGACTCCTGCGAGGATTGCTAAGCGAAGTTTGGTCTTGCTTTGGTCATATATATTCTATTGGTTCGGTATCCATAGTAGTCAGCCTAACAGCAAAGCAGGCCGGGGAGAAACCAAACAACAGCCACAAACCTGGCCGGCTTGTTATACCGGCCGTTTTAGACATCGATGAATTTCGAAAGCAGAAGTATCTTTAGGCAGAGTTTTTTTTTTTTTTTTGCTTCCTACGACAGTGGCCCGGGAGGGGGTGGGGGCTTGGGGCGCCTCCTCTATTACTTCAAAACCGTTCATTCTACGGCCACCAAAAGTGCACACAATAATGTACTCATCATTTCTCATCATTCTCATATTGCTGAATTTATTGACAGAAACCACATTTCCCTCAAGTAGACATAAAGCGAAAAAATACGTAACTTGCAAGGACTCTGATAAAATCAAGGAAGTTGGCTAACACATAACACAATAACAGTGATAACTTTTTGGAAAACATGGCTGTCAAACTCAGTTGCCATGGTAGCATCAATGTTGACGTACACTTTACGACGACGTTAAAATGTTCCCAGATAAATTTTAGAAAAATCGGCTTGAACGGCTTTGAAGTAAGTCAACTTTAAAGCAAGGAGGGCCTCAAAAGCTGCCCCCCGGTCCTGATAGAATTAAGAGATAATGAAAGCGATTTGGACCGTGAACTTTAAAATATGAGCAAAAATAGTGGTACGAAAACACATGTTTTCTGTCCCAATTCTTAAGACGTGTTACTGTGTCGGTTTAGTTGGGCATATGTTAATTTAAAAGGTAAAGGCTTGAAATAATATATTAATGACAAATTTTAACCTCTCGTAGCGCAGTGGTAAATAATTGTCCCAACAAACAGGATTCTTGGAAGAGCTTATTTTTTTGTTTGTTTCCTTTTCTTTACATTAGTCTTGTTTTTTACTTTTTTGTTATAGAGATTTGCTTTGATTGGCTTCTTTCCCTTTATCACCACTTTTTACCGTTAGCCCAACTAGTGCTTCTCAAGGTTCTGCAACTCACGTATTTCTAGTTTACTCCAGTTTACAGTTTCGTACTACAAAACCGGTGCAGTACTCTTCAGATAAATAACAAAATACTGTAAAAAAATAGGGGTTGGGGTCAGTGGGAAGAGATTTGCCTCCACCACTGTCAGACATATGAGCCTTTTTATCGTTTTTTTTTATTGTGTGATTTCACTGACCATTAAGTGGAAATACGAATAGGCCCTAAATCTCACAGATATTGGCTCGAGAAATTGAAATATCACGAAAGAAGGGTTAGAATTACCAGGGTTCATACATAATTAATGTACATGCAAGTTTGACAGGTATAATAAGATTTTTACAATGAGACTTGCGCTAACGCCGTAGAAATAGGCGAGGCGCAAGTATACATGTACTCTGAGACCTAAATATGTATAAAGCACGAGAAAGAGAATGGCAAACCCTAAGAAGTGGTTTGTAAAAGAGGCGCAGTAATTTTTCTTAAAACCTATTTCAAGGTTTTTATAGGTGAATGGTGCAGTCTACTCGCATATATTAACAATGGACACCTCTATTAGGCTAACAAGACACCCTAGTCAATAGTATTTCTACAATTTATAACCCTGCCTTTAAGCTTGAATTGTACTTTGACATATTGGATGTATTTTTATTAGTACCCGCTTCTGATGACAATAAAACTTCGGTTTGTTACGTTATCGACTACTTCCGAAATGTATGAACGATATTCAGAACCTTATTCAGACCAGTCTTGTTTGTTTTATGGACGGAAAACGGCAAACGCAGCTGCGGAAGCAAGTGCTACCAGTCAAAGTGCTACCACAGTTTCTTATTAACAAACCTGGTCATCACTGCAAGAGCGGAGACCACTAACTGATCTTTTACTTTTTTATATTATTTTAAAGTATAATTTAGTCGCTTTGCACCCGTTCCTGATGAGTTATATCTCCTGTACAAGGAAGTTACCTTTACCCGCTTGTGTTAATGCCTACAAGTACTCTTTTTTGCCCCATACATACCTGTGTGGAACATTATATTCCATCTACTACTGTTATCGTTCCGTCTTTACCAGTTTTAAAGTCTACAGCCAAAACTTATCTAGCTGTCATCATCTACTGCATAGTTTATTATATCACCCATTGCCACATTAGGCCTACCTTATTACATGAAAATTTCGCTACACTTTAATTCAGCGAATTTAGCGATTTTTTTTAAAGGCGCTGAATTAAAATGCACCAAAATTAAGTGTCACTAAATTTAAATCGTCGATAAATTAAAGTGAATGCAAAATGAAATTTCGCCATCTAGTCAGTTTCACACTTATGCCATTTGACGTATCATTAATCTTATTAATCTCTGCCAATCAGAGTTCTGTAAGGGTTTGGCATCCCGTTCGATGTTTTTCGTTCTAGAATTGTAATGGTAGTGCACAGTAATTTTTAGGAAGTTATTATAACTCCAATTATTAGTAGTTATTATAACTCCTAATTTAGAAAAATTTGCAACGTCACTCAGGCATTATTTCATTATTGCCTCCATAAACCACTACAACTCATGCTATTACCTAAAATAATGCCTTGGCGCATTTTCTTTTATTGCTATTTTTTATGACCTATAAAACTGTCTGGTAAAAATGGTCTGTAACATTGCTACCTTAGAAAGTACATTACCAGATGCATTACTCCGATAGGCTTTTATCCATTTTATTTCACATCATTCCAACCTGTTATAATTGCATAAACAGGGAACCCAAAATAACGCATACTTGTTTAATAAACAATCTGTACCGCGTCAGTGCACATGTTTGCACTCTTTTCATACCCATGCATTGAAATTCTCAGCCACATCGTGCTCGATGTTCCCCCGACATTTTACGGCAAAATGCCTGACAATTATAGCTTTTTGATGTTTCATACAGTTAATACGTAACTTGTAAGAGTGTTCCTTGCTCACGTATTACGCTGGCTTTACGCTTGACCTTTTCTTCGGCATGGCACATTTGCCTAAAATCATTATTCGAATTTACATAGCCGCGTAAAATCAATAAATTGAAAAGAATTATCGAAATTAACCCGTTAAGACATGCGGATGAGACAAGAAAGATGTCTACTCGTCTAGCGATGGCTGTTAAAATTTTTCTACTATTGGCTGCCATACTCTTCACTTGGACACAAGGGGCCGGTTAGTCGATTGTGTTTTGATTATACTCTCGTTGTTGCAAAGTAAAAATGAAGGTGGTGTAACGGTGTTTTCTCGTTGTTAAAATTTTTCTACTATTGGCTGCCATACTCTTCACTTGGACACAAGGGGCCGGTTAGTCGATTGTGTTTTGATTATACTCTCGTTGTTGCAAAGTAAAAATGAAGGTGGTGTAACGGTGTTTTCTCGCTGATCCACGCCCAGACCGGCTTAAACGAAGTTCAGCGTGTATAGAAACTCACAGTTTGCATTTTTCTCTGAAATGAGTAAATACGTATACATGTTAGTTACAGATTGCTGGTTGTTACATATGCAGCACTCGCTATTTTCAAGCTGTTTCCAACGTGCTTCCGGGACAGACATGGAACGTCTGTCTGTTTCATGAATCACCATTGAAAAATGATAACACTGACCTGTTTTCAAGAAAGAGAGCTCAAAAAACGAATTGAATAAATATGTATGTTTAGTACATCATCCGCAAATTCTTCAAATGGACGTTCATGAAACGTTACTCAAGCTTATTGTAGCTGTTACTGATCACCATTACCACATCATTCACGCACAAGGGAGTATTTATTTAATTGAGTGTGCTTCAATAACCTCAGTGTCGCTAATTATGCATTATTTTCACTGCCTTGGTAATCACTTTTTCGTGTCTCAAGCACCATACCTTGTCTGCACGCATAGGGGAACTTGGTTTCATCGGAATTTGTAAAAGATCAGTTGTTCCATTTAAGTGATTGAACGTAGATTTGCTTTCCCAGCTGCCTCGTTGTCACAATTTGCATGGTCTTCCATGACTTCCATCAGACTTCCTGGTGAGCAAGAGAGGATAAAGGGGCTAATTATGCTGTATTTTGCTTTCCTTTAATTTTGCGATATGATTTAGTAAAGCTGCGCCTTTACCCTAGAAAGGATCCCTTCATTTGACGGTTCCGTATGTGTCAGAACCAGTGGTCTCGAGTTAAGACTTAAAATAAGTTAGAATCTGGAAACCCCCGTTGCATCCAGTATAGTATTGAGTACAGGATTCTCGCCATTTTCCAGCGATGGCAGATTTAGGGTGGAATCATTTGCAGCATATAGCGCAACGACTATACGCATATGCTACAAAAATCCACCCTTAAATTACATTAGCTTACATTTATCGCATGCTATCGTCAAAATTCTGTTAAGTCTAGATCGAGTTCAAGCTTCAGCAATGAAACTAGCCTGTTCCAGGCGTTCAGATAGTGGGGAGCGGTGCGAAGTTAAAAAGGAGCGCGAAAAAATAAAAGCGAGGGAGGAGGAGAGGTGAGAGCGGGAACCTCCAGTCCCCCTCTACTTTTCATCGCTTTCTTTACTTCGCACCGCTCTCCACTATCTGAACGCTTGGAACAGGCTACGATGAAACGTGTAAACTCACCAAAAAAAAAGTTGGCAAACACATTAATAGTCTTTAGCTGGTCTGGAACCATCCGTCATTTTGAATAAATGAAATGTAGTTCCACATTATTTAAATTGATCTGTGTATGAAAGGATTGCTTAGAAGGCCAAAAGAATCCTAAAGTTATGAAATTTCCCAGAGAAATTATCACTGTTGAAAACTGAACTCAGCATCTACCATTTGGTCATTCTTAATTCAGGTTTTTTTTTTTTTTCTCACTGATCAGTCACCAGAAAGTCTGGATTACATCAACAGTTGTACTAAATTTAATGGAATATTGCTAAATTAAATGTAATACTACTATTCAATTTTTAGCGAGGTGGGACTCTTAAGGTCTTAGTTGGTTCAAGCGGAGCACCAAGGGTACATCCGTCCACCCCATTCATGTACATGTCAGCCAATGTCATTGTCAATGACAATTTAATCCCAGGGCTATACTAAGACACGGAAAATGACAATAGCCTGTCAGTTACATTGAAGAGGAGTCTTTTTTGCGACTGAATTTCAATATACACTCTGAGGTAGATAACAGTCAAAGAGCTAGACTGAGAAAGATTGCGAATTTCTTTTCAAGAGAAACGTGAACATTTTATAGCGGCGGTGGGAAAATGTGAAATGCTAGCGGCCAGCAAGGTGAAAATGAGGGGAAGTGAAAAAATGTTAACTGAGTAACACATTCAGCACTTTCTCCATAAAACGTGTAACTAGGACGTTTCACGTTGTAGTAGTACAAAACAACGTCAAAGACACGTGCCAAGTGTGCTGCACGTGCACGTGCTAATTACTGAGACTTACTAATTATATTCGTTGTGAAAATGAGTTTTATGTGCACGAGAATAAAAAATTCATTTTCATGTCAATTGCTTCGCACTTAGCCTCGCTTTGAGACAAAAGGACAGTTCGGAAATAGCCTTGGCTATTTTTTGTCTTTGAAGTCTTTGCTGAGAGTTAACTGATTCTTTTTTTTATCGGAGAGATCTCGTATTTCGTGCGTCATAGTTGAAATTTGATTAGAGGGAAACATAAATCTATATCTTTATTGTGAACTTTGCATTTTGCTTAAGAACTAAATTTTCATAAAGCTTAGTTTCTCTTTTAAGGCCTTTGGAAGTATTTTGAAGAATAAAACAATTATAATAGAATTCAGCTTTTGTACAATATAAAGAATTTTGCAAATTCAAGCGTGTAACACCATATTCAGTCTCAATCAATAATTTTTAAATACCATGTGTTTCATACGTCATACACTTTTCAGCGAATAGATTCAAAGATCCACTTTTGTTCTAATTTCACTTCCAGAAGATTTTCCTCTTCTTTATATTACCCACATTAATAAAAAGTTTTACTATTGCTTTCAGTCTACATGGTATGTATAAGCTACGCATATTGAAAGGATCGATTAATTAGTTGAGACTAACATTACAAGGCATAAAACAAGATCTGTATCACAAGTATTAATAACAAGCGAATATTCATTTTTTAATCTTAATATATAGTCTTTGTTATTTCAAATCAGGTGCACAAAGGATTACTTGGTATGAGCCTCCTCCAGTTGAGACGGTTACAGATCCCTATATGGTTCACACAAGCTACATACAGCTTTATGAAGGGTCCACTAATCAACCATTGAACTGGAGTTTTAGTCTCGAACTGGAAACTCTATTGCTTGTGACTTTAAGTTTCGACAGTTCTGTCATAGCCACCATAGATCCTTCAACTGGAAATGTTGCAATAAACCAAGGCTTCACCACTAGAGTCAGTGTAACCTGGGTCAATGGAAATGTCACTCTGATTATCCTTAATGTAACGTCTGCTGATGAAGGAGTATATAGCTGTGAGTTAACTGGTTCTACGAATTCATGGAGACGTAAAATTCAAGTGGCTACCCTAGGTAACTTAATTCACACATTCATTGTACATCGAATATTTTACTCTGGTAGAAGTTTAAGGCGTCCAATTTTATGCGGGTGCCCACAGGATACCAAATACAGATAAGGTCCTGTTGACAACCCAAATTGTTGAATAGAAGGAGAGAAAAATGGGAGGGCAAAAATGAAGAGTAAATATATAAGAATCTTAGTTTTAAATTATTTTTAAAAGGCTGGACTTCTTTAGTTGCAGTACAATTATACATACTGAATCTGTGCAGAAAGCCACGATTCACTCCCTGTCTAATATATGGCGAAAATGAATGCCGTGAGTTTCATTATAGGATTGTGAATTGTTTATTTTGGTTTACAGATATCTGCCTTGTGGACTGAATGGCATGAATTATCCTTCAGTTTATCTTTTTTTACTTTAATGTTATGTTAACATATTTTTTTTCCTTGTATGATTTACCCTCCTAGTTCATTGTTTTTAATATATTGATTTCTTTTGACTTCTTAGTAATTTAGCAAATTTTGTTAAGGCGAACGGAGCACTGACAATATAGTTTTTTTTTTTTTTAAACAGAAAAACTGTTGTCTTTTTCGTGAAGTATAAACGTTCTAATTACTTTGTGTTTCATACCTATTAATCGCTGATTAAAGAGACTAATGGGTTTACCTTCTTTTTGATCCTTTGGTTAAAGTGCATTTTGGTATCTTGTTCTCAACACAAATAAATTGAGAAAATTTGTTTTCAGAATTGTCGTTTAAGTTACCAGACTTTTAAAAATCGCTTTACCCAACTTGAAAACCACGAATTTTTGGCGGCATTGTATTTCAATTTGCGGAAATCCTGCAATGTTTCCCTCCAGAATAAACCCTATTTTTATATAATTACTACATATCTTTTAATTAGCCGAAGCCAGCTTCATCAACGTCAGCAGTGATACGTCGTTGATAGAGGGTTCAGATCTGCAGTTATTCTGTAAAGCATCTGGCCGACCAGCTCCAAATATCACGTGGGTGAGAATCAGCTCAAGTGGCAGTGAGAGTAATGTATTATACAGGGGTACTACTTGGGATCTTAAAAACGTCAGCAGGACTGAGGCTGGCACTTACCGCTGTATAGCTTACAATGGAGTAGGAAATTCAGTGAACTATACACTAACGGTGAATGTGGAATGTGAGTACATTTTATATTTTCACTTACAAGTATACATGCCTTGATAATGTAAACTTTGTTGCAATAATAGTTAAATCATAAGAAAACGGTGGTCCACAGCGCAGTTGAAGGTTGCGTGAGAAACCTGTTTTCGGTCACCCTCACGCCAGAAAATTGCGTAGTTCGTATTACTAACTATATATCTGTCCGGATTTGCAAACAGGTACCTCCAGGATTTTTTAGCAACAGTGTCATTTGTGGCTTGTTCAGTACTTGACCAAACCTAACAGGCTACAGTAGCCAAAAAAAAAAGAAAGAAAAAAACATGTGTTTATAATACTGTTTACATCTCCTCCCCCCACCCCTCTCCCCTACCTATCATTTCCCATAATTCTCACCGTGTCATAAAACAGTATACATTTGGAATCAGCGCGCGCCGTAGAAGTTGTTCTAATTTCCGTGGTTGGTTAATCTCTAGATTTCTTTTTACCCGCCCGCAGCAAAGTTTTCCGGAAGGCATCATTACGCCTTATGAAGGGACAAGTCTCACGATTGGCAAAGTCTGCCGTCGACCAATATGTTACCGTATTTCGTCTCATTTTGGCTAAACGAGTGAAACGCTGATCTCGGGCTAGAGACGGAAAGGCATCATATTGCGAGCTTTGATGTGGGCGGTGACGAGTCTCTGGCCTCAAAAGTAATTTTTAGGAGTCAATTCTATCCGGCGAGAGCAAAACTGATGCTGATTTCTGACCAGTCCAGGCCTCTATTTGTCCCTTTCAAAACGGCTCGTCTACATCCGGGATCTTGAATAAATCGACTAGGTCAGGAAAGTTTGCATGTGGTGATTTATGTGGAGAAAGCAAGAGTTATTGAGCGAGTGTAATTTGATGATATTTCGCCCTTATTAAATGTGGGAACATCGTGCCTGGTTGGTTGGTTGTTTTGTCAGTGCCGCGAACGTGGTTAATTGTGTGATTTCCTGAATTTGTTGGCAGACGGAATTCAGGCATGTCGCGGTGCTTGTGTTATAAGAACATTGTGTACAAGCATGAAAATACTTCATGAGTGTTTAGTTCAAGTGATTTTGTCTTAGACAACCGATTCCGGCCTCAAGAAAGGTTAATTCTAGATCTATTTTAGTCGGGCAACTCGCAATGAGCCTCATAATTTGAGACTGGACCGAAAGGTCATAATTTCTGTGCTTTAAAATGTTGTTCACTTCGTTACTTATGTGTCGGTTTTGCCAAGAACGACTTTTCGTGCGTTTCCAGCGATTAATTTGTCCTTTTTAACCCATTCGCCCCTGAACCGCCCGTAACCGCCCGTGCGGATCCAGGTCCTTTCTACCCTTTGTGACGTCATCGGTTTTAACGGTCAAGGACAACTTTCTTCGCTAACTTGGGTAGAGTGAAGAGATCTTTCAAACCATACCAGAATGAGCACAATTCAGTCAAGGACACCGGAGAAAGAAGCAAAAAACCACGTAACATTGACCTGAAAATCACCATGAAAATCTCGTTCCATTACCCACCTACCTTTCCTTTCACCTAATCCTAAGATCCTAAAAGCTTTCCTAAAACCTCTTCCCACCAAAATGAAGCCTACTAAATGCCCAGCAAGAGAAAAAAAAAATGAGGCAAGAAAAGCGAAAAAAGAAGGGAGGAGAAAAAACGAAAAGTAAAAGTCAAGACTGCTGTGTCACTTTTAAACCCAAAAACGAAATTTTGCTTTCTGCGCATGCCCTAACTTCGCAAGCTGATGTTTTGCATCTGAATCAGAAGGCCGCCAAGTGTACGACCTGTAAACCGGTTTGTGGTAAGTTTTAGCCCTTTATAGCACGACAGTGACCAGAAAAGCACTCGACTAACTTCAAAACGCGTTTTTCGGCAAAATCTCCAGGAGCGAATGGGTTAAGCCCTAACTAGCGACTTTAAGAGCCATTGTCAGAGAAAACCGGGCGGTGCCAAAAGATTGGGGTCAGCCGATTTCCTTTATTTTTTCAGCATTTAAAACCAAGCTGATAAGATTAACTTTGGTGACATTAACAAGATTTCCCGGCTTTTCACTCTCGAGATTGACCACCCCCCTAGTTTTTGGCCAAGGGAAGCCCTAAAAACCAACAAAAACAATGGCAATTTCTCGGGTCTAAAACAATTTTTCCTTAAGGAATCAGTACACGGATTTTTTTTCTAAAGCTAAAATACCTTAAAATAAACGTTTTGGATGCATAATATCAAATTTTTAGTGTAACGGTAATTTTGCTCAAGGGTTTTAATCCGGGTATGTTGCGTGGCTGTTACAGGACAGCGAATTTCGGCGATTTTCTAAGCCTATTTTCTTGAAAGTGAGGCTGTTTATTTGTTAAATAATTCCATTTTACAATAGTCTATACCCTTTTAAGTCAAAAGAAAAAAAGTATTGATTGGTACAAGAAACTCTTTTCACAGGAAGCCTATTCCCGTGAACGTGATTTTGCGGTATTTTGCATAAAACATGTAACCTTGCTTTTTGGTAATGGCCTTTAAATTGTAACTTTAGACGGCTGAAAACTTTATCACCCGTATAACAAAAAATAATTTGGAAAGGATACTGCAATGAAAAGAAATCAACCTTACTTTGGAACAGCGGAAACCGTTGCAGTCGTACACGTATGATATAAACTATAAAGAAGACGTATTAATTAGAATTAGTTATAAAGAAATGAATGGACGATTTTTAAATTGTCTGTGCGACCAATTTTCAGTCATATAAAGTTTCAGGAAAATATTTTTTACTTGGATTTTGCAGAAAATTTTTGTTTGCCAAAATATGAAATTAAGAAATTAATAAACGACTTACACGTATAATTGTAGCTGCGTAATTTGAGATCGAGCAACATCTATATGTCTCGTGCGCCGCTGGGTTCTCAGGTTTCATTTGCGACTCGCCGAAATTTGCGTACTTTCGTTGTACCACACTTGCTTTAAAATATGAACTGTTCGTTCGCTTCACAAGAGTCACCTTGTAGTTCTTACGGATCTAGTACAAATGTTCTGCCGCTGGATGCTTGTAAAGAAGATATAACACCACACTTACTGGGACTTGGTGTGAGTAGCAAGCGAGGATGGCGATCTGAAGGAATAGAAATCACTGAGAAGGAGCTCGTCTTGAACAGAGCAGGACACTTCCATTTATCTCAAGACAGAGTAGCAGCCATGACCATCTGTCCTAAACACAGAAGAGACCTGACAGTCGACTGGAGAGGTCGTAAAAGTTCGACATGTTGCTATCCATCGCACAAAGGTCAACGCAAGCAGGTCAAGGACCCACGCCGTGTCAATTACGCAATGTCCAAGGAAATCTTTGCTTTACACAATGCTGCTGTCCCAGTTGGGTCCAGTGAGTGTCTCTTATTACCGTAAAATTCTTTTGTAGATCTTACCTGGTAAATTACGTTTTCCATAAATATCACGAAAGGCTCTAGGCTCTAGGCGTATCGACTATGACTATTGTAGTGAAAGCGCTGGCATCAAGTTGCAAATTATAAAGCGCCACTATATCAACAGAAGCGTGGGGGGGGGGGGGGGGGGGGGGGGGGGGG